TGCGCCAAATGTTCATTACGTAATAATTTTGTAATATTGGAATTATAACATGTATAATATTATGTATCGAGCAGTCTCCGAACAGCAGACAAAACAAACATCGCTGATTATTTGGTATTAAGATTGAATATATCTTGCGACCAAGCATATAAATGTTTAATTTATCATGTTGTACAAAGTTCATATTAATGTATTTCGTTCAATAATTGCAATTTTGATATTTATTTTTACTGACTAATTAAAAACAAGTTGTAAAATTGTATTAAATTGTAAGCAATTGACTGCATTAGTAACTAAATCAATTATATCATGGCGCTAAATATACATATTGTATATATCTGAGAAAAGGCGGGAAACTAACGAACAATGGGAAGTAACTCTGTTTACAGGCTAGATGCTTCTTGTAACTGATTATCTCTCTTCCTCCGTAATGACTAGTTTATTTTTATTTTTGTCGTTTAAAGGCCCTTATGCCTTAAAAAGTCCTATATTTTTTTATTTCTCTAAAACTTTCCACCTTAGGTATCTTGTCACAGTTTCTGAAAAATACTCATTTGCGTTTTACATAAATATATATATTTTTTACTTGTTATTCTCTATTTGCAAATGGTATATTTAATGAATGAAGTATTTTGTATGGAAGTCAAAACACTACTATATTTATACATTTTGCTACCTTTTCGACACATCACTACATGTTCTGCGCATTTTTTCAGTTTTTGAATATCTGACATGCACTTAATCCATTATTAAAACATTTTCAAAACACATGTTTGGCATTTCTAAAGAAATGTAAACATTCGGATTTCTGAGGCATAATTTAATTTTACATTGATAAAACATTATTACTTCAGTGATTCGAAACAAAAGAATAGGTACATGTACATGCAGGACTGGTAGTATTCCTGATTTTTGACCTTCAACTACAACTTGCTGGGAGCGTGACTTAGGGAGGAATGGACCCAATTTGTAACCTCTTAACTTATACCCAATCTTTCTAGTTTACTCACAAGTTTGTGATGGTCCACCTTATCAATTGCCTTACTGAAATCCATGACTATGACATCAGTTTGTTGGCCACTTTCAAGATTGTCATGAATTTCCTGGGAGAAGCTTACTAGCTGGGACTCACAACTACGTTTTGACCTGAAGCCATGTTGATAGGGGCTAAGGATGTTGTGTTTATCATAAAAGGACATAATATTGGACACTAAGATGTGCTCCATCAATTTGGACGCTATGTATGTGAGGGATATTGGCTTATAACTGCTGGGTTTGCATTTTGGGCCTTTTTGTAAACTGGGGCAATTACTGTATGCTTCCAGTCTTCTGGGACATGCCTGTTTTAAGTGAGATCTGGAAGATGTGGGTCAGTATGGGAGTAACCTCTTGATGAAGCTCTTTTAGTAACCTAGGGGATATTTGGTCAGGACCAGAAGCTTTATTTGGGTTTAGGCCTTTTAAAAGTTTCTTCACACCATCTTCCGATCTAGATACTTCTGGCATAGATGGGTGGTGTTTCGGAATAAGCTTCTGTTTGCAAGCCTGGGATAAGCTAAGGGGCTGAGGCCGAGAGAAGACAGACTCAAACTGCAGCTGGGAGTTAAGGATATCTTCTTTTGCAACTGGATCAGTAAACGTTTGACCTTCTGATTTGAGGGGTGCCACACCACAGCTTTCAGTTTTGTTACTTTTAACATATTGGTAGAATTTTTTATTTTTCAGACTTTGGGAGTATTGGCTAAAAATGACAGAGTCTAGGTATTGCCAGTATGCTTTCCTAGTTTCTCTTTGGATTTCACATTTAAGTACTTTAAGCTTTTTGACCAAATCATTTGATGGTGACTTTGATCTTTTAATGTTTGAATAAGTTCTATCACGTTTCATAATTCTGCGAATAATGGATTTGTTTAACCATGGTAGATCTCGACGAGTTTTAGTGACTTTAGTTGGTATGTGATTTAGTTCGTCGTTGAAGGAAATCCAGGCTTTGTTGGGATCAGTGTGGTGTGTTTCACTGTAGACATTGGCATATTTACTTACATCATTTTTTAAACAATTCCAGTTTGCCTTATTATAACATTGGATTTCCCTCTTTGATTGAAGTGGACGTCCTCTGTTAATTTTGATTTCATTGAAGACTATGTCATGATCTGAGGAGCCTAAGGGAGGTAGGGTTTTTGTACTATGTACGTGGGAAGGCATGTTTGTGAGGAACAGGCCAAGGACGCTGTTACCTCTGGTAGGGATGTTGACCATTTGCTGTAAGTTTAAGTTAATGAGATTTTCAAGGAAAGAAGTGTATATGTTTGGGAACTTACAACCTTCTATCAGGGATTCTGTTGACCAGTTGATGGCCATCATGCTTGGCATATTGAAGTCCCCAAGCACCCAGACAATACTATTTTTGGGGATCTTTTTTATGGATGACCAAAGTTCATTGAGGGGATCTTTTTTATGGATTACCAAAGTTCAATTAGGGGTATCTCATCCTTCTCGTTAGGTTTATAGAAGGAAGAGATATGGATGTCCTTAAAACCTTTAAGGGTTATTTTGGCCCAAACTGAATTATATTTTGATTTCAGATCGGGTTCCTGGCTTAGGATGGATTTCGTGCAAATTGTTGTAAGTGCAAATTACTTTCTTTGTTCACTTCACAATATTTTACTGTTAAATACATTTTCAAAATTTTCATGAAAATTAACATGAATATGAAGGCATGCTGCTTTAATAAACAAAGTTTAGTTTAGTTTAGTCATATTTTATTGCTATATACATGTATATACAATACAGATACAAATTTCATATGTATTTTAAACAGCAAAAGCAAACGGGTTGGGCCCAAGTTCTTACAACATTAGCGGTCGGCCCTCCCCGGAAAACAAACAAAGCCCCCAATCTTTCTGGCTTTCTATAAGCACGGAATTTTCGTGCAAAAACAATGAACTATAAAAGCCCTTCTTTGGCTAAAACAAATATATGTTTAACCAGTTTAGGCAGAGATATTCAAGTTTTTCTGTAAAAATATGATTTATTTTCATTGAAATATCTTTTATGCTTTTCACAACTCGTTGATTTGTTTTTTCAATGATTGACAGAAAAAATGGCACCGCACTACTATATTTAGTGGTTTTTGACCAAAACTTTCAGTGACGTCAGTTGCCCGCACTTTTGTTGTTAGAAAACTTCTAAAACATTAGAAAACATGTCTGACAGTGATAATAACAGCTCATCTAATAATGCTTCACCGAGGACGAACGCGTAAGTTCATTTTAAAATAAACACAATACCACATTTTGCTTCGAATTTTATAATATTGACACGAGAAATATAGAATGTTTCGTACTCAAATATATTCGTCCATCGTCTATTGCTGTTCATGCAAACAAGCTTTTAGCCAGTTTAATATCTTGGTTTACCCGAATGATTCATGGCATTTTCACCAGAATGAGGTTTATTAACTTTTTTAAAATTTGTCAAATGAGTTTTCACAATTTATGCCAGGGACAGTCACCTTTTCCAAAGTTCTGTGACCTGATTCAGGACAATCATGTTCATTATGCCTCCACAAAGTGGGATGCATATAGCGTTGCACTTGTCCGTCCGTCAGTCAGTCCGTCCGTCCCGAAATCTTGTGAACGCAACTCTTAAACGGGATGGCAGATTTTGCTTAAACTTTCAGGGATGAACAACCTTAATGTGTACATGGTAGTGTAGATGGTAGTAAAGGAAGGAATTTTCGCTGTGACCAAATTTAAGAGAATTATGGCCCTTTGTTGATTTTTTCACTATATACTATGTAAAAATTTTGTGAACGCAACTCCTTTTAAACCGAATGGCAGATTTTGTTTTAACTTCCAGGGATGAACAACCTTAATGTGTGGATGGTAGTAAAGGAAGGAATTTTTGCTGCCACCAAATTTAATAGAATTATGACCCTTTGTTGATTTTTTCACTATATACCATAAAGAAATTTTGTGAACGCAACTCCTCTTAAACCGGATGGCAGATTTTGCTTAAACTTCCAGGGATGAACAACCTTAATGTGTAGATGGAAGTAAAGGAAGGAATTTTTGCTGCGACCAAATTTAACAGAATTATGGCCCTTTGTTGATTTTTTTCACTATATACCATATACATGTTGTCAGTGGGGGCATCCGTGTCCTTTGGACACAGTTCTAGTTTTTATTTAGAGCTTGCACATTACTTGTGTAACTAGAAGTTCAGGGGAACTTGATTGCTGTAGCTTTAATAAAAATTCAAATTGTTGCACAAATGCAGACAAAACAAATATTGTACCACTTTGTTAGTTATAATAACATTTTCATTTCAGTGTTGGAAGAAGTTTGTCAACTAAAAGAGAAGATTATTTAGAATGGAGTGACTACTTTATGGCTATAGCATTCTTGTCGGCACAAAGAAGTAAGGATCCACGTACACAGGTAAAAAACACTCTTTATATACTATCACTATTAGTGGTCCAGTTTGGGCACAGGACTGTTCCGACTTATTCAATGTTGTTTTCTAGAAAAACTGCAATTTATAAAAAAATGAGCTACCAACAGGTGGTTAGACACACATTGTATTAAATTGTCAACAAAAAATTCAAATGTCAGAAATATTTCAATCAAAAAGGCAATGATGAAACCGAGACTGGTCCTGTACGGGAACTAGTTACTTGACTGTACAGTCTTAAAGGGGTATGCCTCCAGTTAATTGAAATGAATCATATGGAATAATATAACTATATTTAATGCAATACACAGTTCTGACTGGCTTGTACATATGATATAATAGGAAAAGCAACTTATGATTAAATAAGCAGTCTTATGTTGGATTCCAGTTGACAGCTGATTAATTAAATAGTGTAGCGTTTGTTTTATATAAAAATATCCCTATCTTCAGAAATTACATTGACGAATGTTCATAACACCATGTTAAGACCATTTAAATACAAAAAGAATGCTTATATTATACCCCAGCTTGTTTATTTTTCTATTATTTACACCTACTTTCCCCCATCCTTTAGTTCTATCATATTGATTTCTTTATTTAATCTAGGTTGGTGCCTGTATTGTGAATGAAGAGAAGAAGATTGTGGGTATAGGGTACAACGGTATGCCGAACAAGTGTTCCGATGACAACATGCCGTGGGGACGTGAGGCAGATAATATACTGGAAACTAAACAACTCTATGGTAACTACTGCATTTGTAAATTGGCTGCAAATCATTTGAAGGCTGTTATGAAATTTACATAAAGTCAATAGCTGACTTTCAGACATGTTGACAACAAATGGCCTTTCCTTAACTTACTACTGTCAGTAGTGTCATGTTTCGGTTAACATATATATGAACTTATAATAAGGTAAGCATTTTTAGTTCGCCTTTTCAAATAATTTTGTTACATTTTTGTATACATGTTGCACCGCTTGCTATCTGCCATTCTTTGGTTATGTATTTACAGAAGCTGCATGATAGAAGAAGATAGCAGTAGCTTTCAATTTAATATCTAATTCAGTTCACTGCAAAACTTGAACTGTAATCTTCACTTTTGAATTTGAAGAAAAAATGTTTTTAAGCAGAAATCTGATTTGTGACATAGGGTAATTTTATTGTTAGACATAACTTTATCATTACCATTTTTCTGGAATGTTGCCTTTTAACACGTAACAGTGTTGGTGTTACTATCACTTTATTAGATTTAAGTACATTGTAATTATTTACTATCAGAACAAGTCATGTCTTGATTATCTCTTAAGATTTAATACGTTAAGCATTTTATGATTTCAGTTTGTCATGCAGAATTGAATGCTGTTCTCAATAAGAACTCTGCTGATGTGAAGAACTGTTCTATATATGTAGCATTGTTCCCATGTAATGAGTGCGCAAAGGTTGTGATACAGTCTGGCATCAAGGAAGTGATCTATTACTCGGATAAATATCATGAAAGACCAGAGTTTCGAGCATCAAAGAGAATGTTCGATATGGCAGGTGTAAAATACAGGTAAAGAAATAATGTATTAAATGTTTTCTTCTCTGTTAATTTCATTGTGTGCAGTTTTTATTAGCTCACCTGTCACAAAGTGACAGGGTGAGCTTTTGTGATCGCTTTTCGTCCGGCGTCCGTCCGTCGTCCGTCCGTCCGTAAACTTTTGCTTTAAATGACATCTCCTCATAAACCACTGAGCCAATTTCATCCAAACTTCACAGGAATGTTCCTTTGGTGGTCACCTTTAAAAATTGTTCAAAGAATTTAATTCCATGCAGAACTCTGGTTGCCATGGCAACCAAAAGAAAAAACTTTAAATATCTTCTTTTAAAAAACCATAAGAGCTAGAGCTTAGATATTTGGCATGAAACATCTTCTAGTGAGTGTCTACCAAGTTTGTTCAAATAAAAGCCCTGGGGTCAAAATTGGCCCCGCCAATGGGGGTCATTGATTTTCCCTATATGCATATAGTAAAAACTTAAAAAATCTTCTTTTAAAGAACCGTAAGAGCTAGAGCTTAGATATTTGGCATGAAACATCTTCTAGTGAATGTCTACCAAGTTTGTTCAAATAAAAGCCCTGGGGTCAAAATTGGCCCCGACCCAGGGGGTCATTGATTTTCCCTATATGCATATAGTAAAAACTTAAAAAATCTTCTTTTAAAGAACCCAAAGAGCTAGAGCTAAGATATTAAGCATGAAACATCTTCTAGTGAGTGTCTACCAAGTTTGTTCAAATTAAAGCCCTGGGGTCAAAATTGGCCCCGCCCCGGGGGTCATTGATTTTCCCTATATGCATATAGTAAAAACTTAAAAAATCTTCTTTTAAAGAACCATAAGAGCTAGAGCTTAGATATTTGGCATGAAACATCTTCTAGTGAATGTCTACCAAGTTTGTTCAAATAAAAGCCCTGGGGTCAAAATTGACCCCGCCCCAGGGGGTCATAGATTTTCCCTATATGCATATAGTAAAAACTTAAAAAAATTTCTTTTAAAGAACCCAAAGAGCTAGAGCTAAGATATTAAGCATGAAACATCTTCTAGTGAGTGTATACCAAGTTTGTTCAAATTAAAGCCCTGGGGTCAAAATTGGCCCCGCCCCGGGGGGTCATTGATTTTCCCTATATGCATATGGTAAAAACTTAAAAAATCTTCTTTTAAAGAACCATAAGAGCTAGAGCTTAGATATTTGGCATGAAACATCTTCTAGTGAATGTCTACCAAGTTTGTTCAAATAAAAGCCCTGGGGTCAAAATTGGCCCTGCCCCAGGGGGTCATAGATTTTCCCTATATGCATATAGTAAAAACTTAAAAAATCTTCTTTTAAAGAACCCAAAGAGCTAGAGCTAAGATATTTAGCATGAAACATCTTCTAATGAGTGTCTACCAAGTTTGTTCAACAAATAAAAGCTCTGGGGTCAAAATTGGCCCCGCCCCAGGGGGTCATTGATTTCCCTACATGCATATAGTAGAAACTTAAAAATCTTCTTTTAAAGAACTCAAAGAGCTAGAGCTAAGATATTTAGCATGAAACATGTTCTAATGGGTGTCTACCAAGTATGTTCAAATAAAAGCCCTGGGGTCAAAACTGGCCCCGCCCGGGGGGGGGGGTCATTGATTTTCCTTATATGTGTATAGCAAAAACTTAAAAATCTTCTTTGGAAAAACCCAAATAGCTAGAGTTTAGATATTAAGCATGAAACATCTTTAAGTAAATATCTACAAAGTTTGTTAAAAATAAACGCCCGGGGTCAAAAACTGGCCCTGCTCAGGGTGACATTGTTTCTAACTATATGTGTATAGTAAAAACTTTAAAAATCTTCTTTTAAAAATGCCAATGAGCTAGAACTTAGATGTTTAGCATGAAACATCTTCTTATGGGTGTCTACCAAGTGTGTTCAAATAAACAAATAAAAGCCCTTGGGTAAAAATTGGCCCGGGGGTGGGGGGCCTATATACAGGTGAGCGACCCTAGGGCCATCATGGCCCTCTTGTTGAGAATAAAGAATGATAAATCTCCAAGAGTGATTTTTTCCCTAAATAACACTTGCTTGGAGTTTGTATGGGAGGAATTATATCAAAAACTATAATAATAAAAGTGATAAAATCACTATTTTGATTCTTAGACATCAACAAATAAATGCTACCATAAAGAATATTATGCTTAATATTTTCTGATTTGTTTTGGTACTTATTTTCAGCGCGTCATAGTCTTAATAGTTACGTCACATGTCTAGAAATAGATCAACAACATTGATTTTATTACATGTTTACACACCTCAGTCCTTATATGTTCAAAAGGGAAATATGTGGTGTATGTTCAATAGGGAAATATGTGGTGTTAGAATATGTAATGAAACTATTCTTTATACAGTTTAATTTGATAAAAATGTACTTCTACACTCAAATATTTCTTATATTCTTTGATCAGTACTGACAAATGTATGGTGGGTATTGAGTTAGACTAGTTCGCACAGCATTTTCTGAGTACTATCCAGCTAGCTTACCAAAGCTCTGTGGTTATGTGCCAGGTTCTGCCTTAAAAAATTGTACGAAGCAGCATCTAAGATCTACCTATACAGGTAAAGCTTAAAAATTACCAGATGTTCACCATAGTGCAGTGACAGGTTAATTCCTTATATAAGTTGATAAGAGTTAACCAGTCATTGCACTAAGGTGAATGATTATGACCTTTACAATGGCCTTTTAACATAAAACAGAGCAAATCAAATCAGTCTCTACCATTGGCTGGTTTATTCAATACTTTTGCGTGGGTAAAAACTCAGATGAACAAAGAAATATTGCCCAAACAATGTTTTGTTTTCTCTCCCTTTTAAAGCGAAAAATCTAGAATTGATTTAAAAGAACAATGTAAAAAAATTGAGGCTAATTATATTGTACAATTCTTCTTTTTACCCCTTGTGGCTGAGGGTATGCCTTTCATGGTTGAGGTATCAGAGTTGCAGCCACTGTTTAACCCTGCATGATCATTGGAGGCGACCAAATGGATTTGAATAACTGGAGTCTTTGCATTTCTTAGCTCCAGCAAGTGAGGTGGTTTTGACTACTAGTGTTACTCTAAGTTTGTAACACCTGAGGTTTGCCAAATTCATCTTTCCTGTTTCAGTACAATATAACTTAAACTGTGTTGGTGCTATAAAATATAGGAAATCATACAATTTTTCTCCTTCAGGCAATATCGACCAGCGCAGAAACAAATAGTGATAGATTTCACAACCATAGACGAGATGTCGAATGGCGTGATCGCAGACATGGATTCGCTTAGTCTCAGCCCAAAGTCCGAGAATTCTGTACCAGACTCTACTAGCTGATCTGATATAATGTTAGAATATGCAAGAAATATTATTCAAAATTTGTGAAGGGAAATACTTTAAAAACTACATTATTATGCCATGTAGAGATTATACTATACCTCCAGATGTAAATTTTTAAAAAATTGGACATAAAAATGGTATTTGAAGTGTTAAAATAAATGTAGTAGATAAGATATTTAGCAGGGTAAAGACATGAGTAAGGATGAGTTTGCTTACTATAGCTTGATACATTAATGATTTACCGCCTTTGTGGTCGAGGGGTTAGAGTCGATGACTTCTAATCCAGTTACCTCTCTGGCGTGGGTTCGATCCCCGGGAGATGCTTTGGTAGTTTAGCGCGGAGGAAGGTAGTCTAGTACTGGTGTAACTCTCCAGGAACGATGGTTAGGAAACTACCCGCCTATATGACTGAAATACTGTTGGGAGAAGGCGTAAAATGAAACAAACAAACAAACAAACATTAATGATTATGATGGCAAGTGCCTTATTGTAGCCTAAATGGCTTTATTTGTACAGTGCGCAAAACTTGCCCTATTTTGATTGCTTTACGTTTTCATAAAAATCAGCATTGACCTGGAGGTGTCGTGCTTTAATTTTTGGTGCTAAAATTTGTAAATATCTTCTGACATTAAATTATAGCTGTCCTTTGATTAGTATGATCTCAAAGCTGATACAGCTATGTGTTTCTTTTTACACTTACAGGCATTTTACACTTACGGGCATTTGACATTGCAAAGTTAAGTTAAATTATATAAATCAATTTTTTTTTCCTTGCAACATTCCATACCCAGTTTAAAGTGGCCTTGTTTATATTAAAATTACAAAGTATAATATTATTTATTATAATCAAGTTAAAATATTGATTATTGACATTGGATAGCATAGTACTGCTGTTAAAATTTGATTTTCGAGTGCATTGTCTTGACTGCCTTTGGATTTTTGATTTAAAGTTTTATGTCACAAAGGCCCATGTATCGATATCATTAAATATAAATAGTTTACACTGGGATGAATGTATGTTACTTTCGGTTTTGAGGTTGCACCTGCGTAATGATTGGCAACTTTGCACAGATCTGTCTGATCACCACATGGCACATAGCGGGTAGCAGCTCTTACATCTGTGCAATACTGAGCTTTGTTAGATTGATACTAAATCGATTACCAATTTACCATGATTTTACTCATAAATTTAGAAAAATAAACTTATTTAAGTGTGTTCAGATATTGAAATTTGCACATGAATATGAAAGCGGCTTTAATTGTTTGATAAGAGACATCATAGTGCCATTAAAAAAATCACCAGTAGTGTTCGTATTTGATATACAAAGATCATATTGAAAAATAAGAAAAATAATTATGATACTGAAAGAATTACTAAATTCATATTGAATGAAAAGAAAATCCATATATTCATATAAATCAGATTATTTTTTTGTATGATCCAAAGAGGGACATTTTTATTATGACAAATTATGATATAGTACATGTGTATAATATAACAAGAAAAAAAACATTTTAAAATTTAAATATTTAAGTGACATTATGTCTTTAAAAAGTTCCAGTAAAATTTGGACAATAATTCTTATTTATGCCATTGTTAAATGAGATTGTAAGATATCTAGTGTTACAAATATTTGACTGTGTTCAATATAATGACCATTGTATTAAAATGTACCTACATGTACAGGTTGTGTATATTGGCTTGATCTTGCAATTTTAGTGCAATAGAAATTAATGTTCAATTTCCACATGAATTTTTGAAATACACTGAATGATATTGTTTTAATTCAATCATTAATCTTGTCACATGTCAAATGATACTGTGTTATAAACACTAATATGATCATTTTTACTGCCATATGAATAGATAGATATTTGAATAATTTTGTATATTTTTATTTCAGTTTCATGAATGAAAGTTTTGAATCAAAAGTTTATGGTTTACTTAAAATTTCATTAATTCATATGTAAAATGAATACATATGTGCTATAATAAATACTCTACATATTTATAGTATAGTTATTTTTTGATTAGTCAGTCTTTCTGTAATAATACTTTATTGTGTTGCCTTGAAAAGGAGCATAACTTAAGTTCCATTTGGCCCACAATATTCAAACTTCATAGGAGGATTGCTATTTGAAGGAGGTAATACTTTATTTATTTCCCATGTCTTACAAATGCTTTATCCTTACTAAAAAAAAACACTTTCAGGCATATAATGCTCCGCCTAGCGGTACTCTTGTCAAAATTTGATTTTGTCCGGGCCATATCTCCTAAACTATAAAAGCAATGGACTTGAAACTTCAAAGGATAATGGATCTCACTAAGATGATGTGCAGTGCATACAAACCGGTACTCTGCACTTCTTATTTTTTTTAGTTATTGCCCTTTGTTAATTTCATACTTTATTTTTGTCCGGGCCATTTCTCAAAAAATTTAAAAGCTATGGACTTGAAACTTCATAGGATGATAGATCTCATTAAGAAGTGCAGTGCAGAAGAACTGGTACTCTGCACTTCTTATTTTTTTAGTTATTGTCCTTTGTTAATTTTCATACTTTATTTTTGTCTGGGCCATTTCTCATAAACTATAAAAGCTATGGACTTGAAACTTCTTCTTAAGAAGAAAATGCTTAAACAACAACTATACTCGCGGAGTTCTAGTTAAGCTTATGAATGACTTGGATTGGTGCATTACATATAAATATGTATGTTATTGTTTAGCTGGATGCAACTGATTCTACCCATGATTCCAGTGCAGGTCGAGATTACCTGGCACGACTATGCCATCTGATTCTGATTTGCACTGGCCACTTCTCAGTTAATACTTAATTAGAATTTATCTCTACAAATAAGAAATGATTTTGTCCCGAATGAAAGATGGAAATGTCTATTTAAGATATGATTCTCTGTACTCCTAAAAATAATATACCAATTATAACTCTTCTGCCTGCAGTAGTGTCTTTGAATTTTTAGTGAACATTGTACAAAAAAGACATCATAGTAAGTAAAATAACAGTGCAAGCCCATTTAAAATGGCAGTCATTTCATTTGTTGCATAAAAAAAATATGTTGATCCACATTTCTTCAATAATATCCATTGTAATTATATGTTTTTGCATTTTATATCCATATGGCCCTATTTAATAATTTTGACAATTTGCTAGGCAGGTTGCAAAACTAACGCCTTGAATATATCAAAGTACCATCATTGCTGGAGTACAGACATTGTTGATAAGGTTACATGAATAATCTTGTTTTGGAGGCTTATGTAGTGGTTAAGTATCTTATTAGGCACTTATATACTTTGCATACAGAATATTAGAAGTTCTAATCTGGTGCCCATGGCCAGTAAAATTGAAGTAGCGACATCATTGTTATAGTGTCAAAGTGACGTGAAATCTGTCCAAATAAAAAAAGGTCTTTTTTTTTTTGGCGTTCAAAAACAAGATAACTCCTAAATAACATTAGATAAGTTTTTATTTTTTTCCTTTTGAATGATAAAAATAACAACAACGATAATTTATTATGGTAATCTCAAAATAACCAATGCACAAATATTGCTTTATACTTCCAAGTGTGCATATAAATAATCATTTATGAATATATAAATATACTTTTATTGCTTTGTGTTCAATTGCTTTTAAATTAAGAGTGCATTTTTTCTTTTCAAAATTAAGTACATGTAACTGTGTTCAGTTTTAGATATTCAAATGTTTTAAATATGAACATAAAATTCAAAATAAATGCATGTCATTTAAGAAATTATAGACATTTACCTCCTATATTTTATCTGTTATGAAAACACTGACAGAGTCTGGATGAGTAAAAAAGTGAATTTCGGAATGCAATTTGAGTGCATACTGAACATGTTCCAAAAAGGAAGAAAAAAATTACAATGCAATTTCTGTTTAATATAAGTGAAGATTTTGTTAATTATTATAAGAATAATGAAACAATGCTACTTGAATTTAATAAAATCAACATTTTTTATTCAGTTTTCTAAAAACATTTGCTAAAATATTCAATTGCTTAAGTAAATGCATTTCACCATCTAATGACCCTTCTACTAACGTAAGAATTTTATTATTTAAAACATTGTAACAAAACATGTTCAATATCCAGTATTGTCAACAATTATTTCCACAAACAGAGCTTGTGAAACTTCCTAAAATTTATTTTTTAAATGAAACTTCTTCCCAACACAGCTACAACATTTTAAATGTCCAAATATAAATTTTCATCTGCTAGGGGACTGCAAATAAAATGCAATCATTATTGACTATTTCACAACCAAAATTAATATATAAAAGAGGCCATACATTGAAATCAAAAATATTTTATATGTCATTATTATTTGTTAAAATGAAACATGATATTATGTCCAATTAATTATTTTGGCAAGTGCCCCCGCATAATGTAGTGATTTTAAAAAGTTCATATAAAATTTCTGTAAAACAGAAAGTTACAATTTGTCATCCTTTTAAATAGCAAAACTTGATGTAAAAGTTAATAGAAATGATAGTACAGACATATATGCACCAAGTTTACATTATAACAAGGGCTTAACTCTGTTAAATTTATGTGGAAAAAAAATGCCACAAAAATTGCTTAGCAACAGGATTGTTTTTGTAATCAGAAGCTTTCTAGGTCGAAAAAATTACCTTTAAAAGGTTCAAGACATTTATATGGGGTCAATCATAATTCAATATGTCTTAAATAAAATCGTCAAAGAACATGTAATGTGTTGAGTAAGTATTAAGCACTAACTTTGAAAATAAAGAAGCCCATTGCCAAGTTTCGAGTTGACCACTAAAAAACAAATGGACGAGGACATCCCCTAATTCGTATTGACAGATTAGATACTTTGAGATTGTAAATGAAAAAATAAATCAATAATTAATTGATAATTAGTACAGTAAAATGAAAAATATAAACTAATTTGTAAATATTACAAGACTTATACTACACACAATAAAATGGTACTATGTAGTTAAGTTTTCTAAATGAATGAAAA